AGGTGGACTCTGCTCCTGCCTGCTCAGCCGTGGGAGTCCAGGTGGACACTGCTCCTGCCTGCTCAGCCGTGGGAGTCCTGGTGGACTCTGCTCCTGCCTGCTCAGCCGTGGGAGTGCAGGTGGACTCTGCTCCTGCCTGCTCAGCCGTGGGAGTCCAGGCAGACTCTGCTCCTGCCTGCTCAGCCGTGGGAGTCCAGGTGGACACTGCTCCTGCCTGCTCAGCCGTGGGAGTCCTGGTGGACTCTGCTCCTGCCTGCTCAGCCGTGGGAGTCCAGGCGGACTCTGCTCCTGCCTGCTCAGCCGTGGGGGTTCAGGCGGACTCCGCTCCAGTCTGCTCAGTCGTGGGAGCCCAAACGGACTCCGCTCTTGCTCCAGATCCTGTGTCCGCCGAAGGGTCTTCACCTAACCCTGATGGTACTGCTAAAGAGGATCCTGGCCAGCCTGCGATCCTCAGCTCACGTTGCCCGTCTCGAGGGGTTCATGGAGGACGCCTCTCACATCACCCGTCTCGAGGGGGTCCTGGAGGACGCCCCTCACGTCTCCTGTCTCGAGGGGGTCCTGGAGGACACCCCTCACGTCTCACGTCTCGAGGGGGTCCTGGAGGACACCCCTCACGTCTCCTGTCTCGAGGGGGTCCTGGAGGACGCCCCTCACATCTCCTGTCTCGAGGGGGTCCTGGAGGATGCCCCTCACGTCCCCTGTCTCGAGAGGGTCCTGGAGGACGCCCCTCACGTCTCCTGTCTCAAGGGGGTCCTAGAAGACGCCCGTCACGTCGCCTGTCTCGAGAGGGTCCTGGAGGACGCCCCTCACGCTGTCCACCTGAACGGTGGTCCTGTACTGGACGGCCTCCACGCCGCCCACCTGAAAAGTGGTCCTGTACTGGACGGCCTCCACGCCGCCCACCTGAAAAGTGGTCCTGTACTGGACGGCCTCCACGCCGCCCACCTGAACGTTGGCCCTGTACTGGACGGCCTCCACGCCGCCCACCTGAACGATGGTCCTATACTGGACGGCCTCCCAGTCACCCACCTGACCTGCTCTGAGCCAGTGGCTGGTCTCCCGTCCATCTGGACATTTTGTGTTTCCCTACTTGGTTTAGTTCCCGGGCCTTGTCCTGTTTTTGTTTTGGTCCTTGTGTGTCTTTGTTCGGGCCCACCACCCTTGCAGTTCCTCCCTCCGCCCGCCCTAGTTTTCTGGGAGGGGGTTTCTTGGGGACGCCAGGGGACGTCCTTGAGGGGGGGTACTGTAGGGATGGCACCATCTAGTGGGCCTTCCCCCTGTCTTTTCTCCCTTGTGTCTGTATTGATTGTCTGATTATCGTCACCTGTGTCATGTCCTGGTTGTGTGTATATAAAGTCTGTCTGTCAGTTCTGTCATTGTCAGTTCGTCGTTGGGTATTGCCTGTCCTGTCTGTCTGATCCTGTTCTTGAGTCCATGTTGTAAGTTTTGCTGCCATGTCAGCCTTTTGATTTATTATTATTATTAAAAGTATTTTATTTTATACGTTTGCCTCCTGAGTCCTGCCTGCGCAACTGGGTTCTTCTGTCCTGATCTGCCTTGAAAACCCTGACACAGTCCTCACCTCATTCTACAAGTGTGCAGTGGAGAGCATCCTGTGCTCCAGCATCAATGTGTGGCATGGAGGCTGCACAGCTGCAGGGAGACGAGTTTTGCGGAGGGTGGTGGAGGCTGCGCAGGGGACTGTCGGAGTCGGCCTCCCCACCGTCACAGACATCTGCGCCTCTAGGTGTGGGGGGAGGGCTACCTGCATCATGGGGGACCTCATTCGCCCGGCGCACACACTTTTTGCCCCGCTCCCCCCCGGGGGGGGGGGGGGGGGTTGAGGAGCATTGGGTGTAGGGCCACTGGACTGGGGGGCAGCTTCTACCCTGAGGCTGTTGGACTCATGAATCTCTAACTAGAATAATCACTGTGAAAAACCACATCATGTTGCTGCTGATCTGTTTCAATGTTGATATGTTCATGCGTGCACATCCGCTCACAGACTCATGTTCATGTTTGTGCTGATGTTCAATGTTTTTATGTTATGAGTGCTTAGTGTATATTTAGTTGATGTATTTCTTAGTTCATATCTTAGATGTTATTACTGTTTTTCTTATACATTTTATTGTTGGATGTAACTGGGACCCTGTGTACATAATTTCGCTAAACCACATGTACCACATGAGGTGCGAATGACAATAAAGAATCTCTGACTTTCTGGGCCGATACCCCGTGGGCCTGTGGTTTGCTACGAGGATGAAACTGAATTGAAATGTGATTTAAAGCAGAATCTTTTGAAACCGCATTCAAAATTTCAACGGGTCGATGGCGAACCAGGGACTTTGTTTTAGCATTTAGTTTAACTTGGGCCATCACCCAACTGGCCTGTGTTTTCTGACAGCTAACGTGAACTAGCATTAGTGGCTCTGCACAGCCTATGGGCACCTGGCTAGTTAATGGCTTTTCAAAAACACAGAGTTGAGCTTCCAGATCAGACAGCCTCTCTATCAGAACCGACATAGCAGAACATTTGTTACATGTACCATTATCTTCAAAAGAGGTAGTGTTATAGCTAAACATCTGGCACGCGATGCTTGTGATAAAACCTGAAGCCATGTTTTTCTTCTATTTTTGTTATTTTTACAATGCTTTGTGCAGTGTACCAAATCATATTTGCAGTATGATCGTCGGGCACTTTTGGAGCTCCATACATTTGCTGAAATGCCAGTGGAATTTTTGTACAGCGGTCAGCACTCTCCTCCATCAGTTCTGTCCAAGATTCATGCAATCTTTTTATGTGACCCTGGCCTATCTCCCTGGAAAAAATGTTGCAGACGTCGTGGGAAGCGTTCGGGGGTTTTGGTGAAACTAAAGCCCCTTATCCACAGGTCTGGTCCTTGTAGGACCCTATTGTGCTTTATTTAGGCCAGTTCCGTTGGGACCGGTTTATTTCTGTCTCCACAGTCCCCATAGTTCTCCTTTAGTGGGCGGATAATTAATATCAACACGCCTTACCAGCTGGTGGTGCTAGTGTTACATTAAGCTCTTTACTAACCACCACTAACATGTATTAGAAGATGTAAAGCTGGAAAAGGACAACCAAAATGGATGATCTCGTTTGTTTTGAACATACTGCTTTGCCTGTGGCTTTGTCTCCTTTATATATATATATATATATATATATATATATATATATATATATATATGCACTTATTACACTTATATTTGCACATTTGCATTGCAGACAGCTCCATGGTTCAGCTAATTATTCGAGTTTTGAACTGCTCTGTTGTGAGCTGGGCCGCTCCAACCCAGTTCTGTGTGCTATTTTTTACAGACCCCCCGGATACCATAAACAGTTTTTAAATGAACTCTCTGACTTTCTAACTGGTATTCTGCTCCAATATGATCGGGTTTTGATTTTAGGAGACTTTAATATCCACGTGTGCTGCCCTGATAAACCATTAGCTCAGAACTTTCTAGATCTCATCCAGTCCTTTAACGTTGTTCAGAGTGTTGTTGGTCCGACTCACCAGCAGGGCCACACTCTTGACTTATGCCCCTTTTCCATTAGTACCGGTACGGGCCGACTGGACCCTACTTGGCCCGGTTCTGAGGCTTTTCCATTAGTACCGGTACTTAGCACCTGTTACTATTTTTAGTACCCTTGTCTCTGTGGTTCTAACCTGAACAAAGAGGTACTAAAACGTGACGTCAGAACACTGTCGGTCACTGATTGGTCGGGGGCGGAGTCACAGGATCCATCAGAAACTTTTCAAAACAATAATCCGCCATTTGCAATTTCTCGGACTGGAGCAGCGGCTGGACTTATTTTAAAGATTTTAAAAACAATACTGACAACATCTTGGTCTAATGCTGATGTGCTGGCATTTTTTGTGCTTGGTGGCCGACAACATAATTCAGAGCAAGCTGGATGGAGCGCCGGGCAGGACGTCATCTCCCCGGCTCCAAGTTTAGCTGGTCACCACGGAAGATCCTTCGATGTGCCGACTCGGAGGCTCGGGTTCCGGATACCAGCCTTGTGTGCTCAGAGCTCCGCTGGTCACTGAGAAGCTGGAGATGGGGACTCGCAGATGGCCGTTGCGAGACCCCGGCCGCGCGTAATCATGAAGGCTGAATCCCGATCCCGCCCGGCAGTCAGGCGGACTGGACAGTCTGGGACGGACGGTGGAAGCGATTTTTAAATAAAATAATACAGTATTTATACAGTTCTATAGCACCTTCTATGAGAGGTATTTCCCTCTGAACACCGTTAGCAGCGGTCCTGAGCTCCTCGAACAGTTTGGCTGACATAATAGTTATGTCGGCTCCACCGTCCAGTAGGGCTTCATGTGTGAGGACCCCTTCAAGTGTGATCAACAGGTAAGCTTTTTTAGCGACCCCCTTTCTGATAAGGTTACACAGGAACCCTGTAGGTTTTGGCCAACGTTTCTTCTTATGTTTACCTTTGCCTGTGTAATCCTGGTTTATCCGAACCATTGATGCAGTCGCTGCTGCTCCTGAGAGTTTGGTTTTTGATGGGCCTGTCATTTATGTATGAGATCACCCGCTCACTGTGTGTTGAGGGGCTCTCATTGTTTGTAACAACAAGGTCCTGGTGGCTGTCCGTGACAGCGGCAATGTTGTTGTTTGTGTCACCCTGATTTATCTGAACCGTTAGCACAGCTGTTGCTGTTTCTGAGGTTTCAATTTGTGACGGGTCACCGTCGATGACGTGTGATTGTACCCCCCCTTTTTTTGGTGAGGGCCTGTCAGAGTTTACAACAACAACGTCATGGTGACTGTCTGTGACAGCAGTAACGGTGTTCTCTGTGCTCTGACTTTTCAGCAATGATATTGCCACACAACGCGTCAGGTTGTTTGTCCGTGGCAACACCTTTCAACATTTCCAAGAACCGACGCACACTCAATGTCTTGTCCAAGCTCAGACCCGCTGCTGTTTCTTTTTCGTCTCAGGCTGTTCAGGCAGACGTGGTGGGGGAGCAGGTCCCCTCCTCTGGTGTTCCCAGTGGGATCCCTGGTTGAATGGATCACCTTTGGTGTCATACTTTTTACCCTTAGGGCGTTCGCCCCCCTTCTGGCACATTAGTTCATCCTCTGGTTTCTTGGGAAACCATTTAGGATCCTGTCTGGACCAGGGGGCACTCACCTGTTGTGGTTTGGCTGCTGGGAAACCTTGCTTCCTCTCGTCTTTTTTGGGAGGGGGAGCTGAAGCTCTCATCCCTTCCAATTCTAATGACTGGGCAGGAATCCTCTCACTTGGGAACACCTCAAAGGGTGTTTTGGCCTATGAACGGGCTTCATAGACATTCACAGCACAATTTTTTTTTATCTCACTGATGGATTTCTCTTTGAAATTAGCCATCATCTGCACTGACATCCTTATGTCAGGGTGGAGATTTTTGCTGAAAACAAAAACGCTTCCTTCTCCTCCATGCCGGTTTCGTTCCTGTAACCAAAATAAGCCTGCAAAATTCTGGAATAATATGCCCTTGGGTGCTCATTCTTACCTTGCATGACCTTGTCGGCGGCTGGATATCCGCCAGGTCCCGCGCAAGGGGTATACTCTTTCATAAGAGCAGCACATAACAGGCGGTAATCCTTTCATGTAGCATCAGGTTGATGCTCTATGAAGGAAATCAACATCCTGGCTGAAGTGAGCCTGATTAAACCTACTTTATCCTCAACTGTAGCATTGGGATAGCTCCTTAATTGGAAGTCAAGGTCGTTCAGATATGCCTTAGTGTCAGTCGAACCCAACGGCCCCAGCTCAAAGCGTTGGACATACTTCGCTATTTTATGCAATTCTGGCTGAGAAATTGGTGTTGTTGGAACAAAAATAGCACGTGGAGGCGATTCACTATACTCACGTGGAGGTGGCAGAAGGGGATTTTTTGTAGGAGGTACAGCAAAATCCTTCTGAGGTGGTGGTGGGTGACCTGGACTCTTACCCAGTTCTTCTTCTACGGAGTGCGCTCTCAGGACATTATTACCTGCAGTGTTCCCTCAATGAGGACTGAACTAGGCAAAAGGGCCTTCTCCTATTCCGCTCCTGTTTCCTAGAATATCTTACAAAAATATTTGAAGCTCTCGACCTTGACCTCTCTAAGTATCTTTAAGAATCTGTTGGACACCTGGCTGGGTCCAATGCTGACATGTTCTTGTTTTTAGTTTTCTACATTTGTCTTGGAATCTAGCTGTTTTTTTGTTTGTTTTGTTTTTGTTTTGTTACCTTTTCCTTTTAGCCATCCTATTTGTTAAAAAAAAAACTGCAGTATGACTTTTTATAACTGTTTATTGTTGTTGCTGTTGTCCATTGTTGTCATCTTTCTTTGTTGAAATCAGGTCTCTCTTGTAAATGAGTCCTCGAGGCTCAATGGGATTTACCTGTCTAAATAAAGGTTGATTCTTTGAGTTCCAGACATCCTTGCCCCTCGTCAGAAATTTTATTTGTGGCTGCGGCAAGTTTTGCCTCACTGGCTGTTAAGCATTCACGTGATGTATGACACTCACTTTGTAAACACACGCCTTGTTGGATTAACGCCGCTTTTTCCAATCTGCACTCGTCCAGAGATTGTGATGTGAGCTGCAACACAACTGTCGTTGCAGCGCATCATTGTCTGAACACAGTGCTTGGTAATTAATCCCTCCTTCACGTAGCTTTTCCTCATATGAGTTTGCTTGTGACAACAGCTGAGCTTGTGAGAGCTCTTCTTCACGTTTCAATTTATCCTCCCAGGTTTCCTTATCAAATTTAAACTGTGCCATGAGTTTTAGATACTCCTCTGTCTCACTTTCCAACCTTATTGCAAGGTTTTCTGCCCTGTTGGCCTCAATATAAAATGTAGCTTTCAGCAAGAGTGCTATTTTAGCTAGTTGTTCATAGCCTGACTTTTTTATGGCTGCAGAAGTCACACTTTCTGCAACTTCCTTCAGCTCGTCCAATAACTCTGTTGAGGTTATGCGTTCCACTTGGTCACCATATGGAGATAAGGAATCTGTTAGCAGCGTTAACGCTCTCTCTAACCAGTCCTTCTGAACACCACATGGATCAGGAGCATCATGTTCAGCTTTTGTTGAATCTGCCATGGTCGTATTTTACTGTTCAGCAAACCTATCTGGTTAAATCGTCGCAATTTTAGAGTTTTTCAACAGGTAAATATTTTTTTTAAGTGAGCAGCGAGATTCACACACTATTTAGCTCTGCGGTTCCATCAACAGTACTGTTATAAGCCAACTTTTCAATAATTGGGCACCTGTTTGTAGGTTTTACCCCATGCATGAATATTTTAAGTAAATGCCCCCCTTCTGGCAGTGTTACTTAATATGCTTATTTTTAACAGGTACAAGAACCAGCCTATTTCAGTGTTTATTTACTCAAATGCACTTAAAATGAATAAACCTGCAATATTTTCTAAAAAGTCTGACAGCAACTTTGTAGTTTTAAATGCTCACAAGCAGTTTAATTTACCAGAATTTGCTATTTAAACAGTACCCATAAACCAGGCTCTGATTAACAGAAAAAAATTTTTTTAATGAAAGGCCAGTGCACAGCTTTCTTTCTGGAAAACTGTTATACTCCTTTTCAACAGCAGGTGGCAGTGTAAGCTTACTTTTACGGTAGGAGTCACTGACGACTTTCTGTGAACCGTCCTGTTGACAACCAGTTGTTAGCCGTTAGCTATATGTAGCAAACGGTCGATCACGGTTCAAATCAGCATTTATGGACAGATTTAAAGCTTTCAAGTTGCGTCGCTTTACATGCATGCCCTTTCTGCATGTACTCATGAGTTTAGAAACAAAAGTCATGGCCTTATTCAGCAGTTTTAAACACAAAGGAAGTCTCCGTTAAAACGAGCTTCATTTCCGGGGTCACGTGACTTTACAGACACGTGAACATCGGGGGTGGGCTTTACGCACTGACACCAGAGTGAGAGGACGTACACGGCGATACGTCACCAGCTTCTCAGTGAATCAGAATGGTCCAAACAGCGGTTCTCAACCAATCACAGCTCGTGTGTACTCGCCTAAAGCTAGCAGTTAGCATCAACAGTCCGGTCAAATTATCGCCCATTAAAGCTTCAATAAATTGCACACTTTACTGTGAAACGTAACAAATCAAGAGAGGAGCAGCTTCTGAGACGACGCTCAGCTTCAGACAACGTACCACCATTCAAAACAAGACTCGAGTCCAGTAAACAGAACCGGGTCGGACACGCAGAACCCCCGGTCCATGCTAGAGTTTCAAACAGAATGGATGCGTTATTCCCACTGCTCACAGCTTAGTTACACAAACAGATTGACAATTTCAGCTTTAACATGAACACATTGACGTAATTGCAGCTTTCTGAACACCACAGCCGTAAATCATGTCCATACCAAGGTCAAACCTCGGACTTTTTTATGCCAACATGACGCGTTATTTTACAATAACACAGGTCTTGGGTCACACATAATTATATCTCTTTAAAAACCTTACGGGCCACCAAAATGTAGTGAATGTGGGGGACAGCTTTTCTGTAGCTTCACTACTAATTAATTATTCTTAAAGCTAGTTCAAGCACAAAGAATATTAATTATTTAAATACAACAGATTCTTTCTTTTTCGAGTTAAATTAATGCCATGTGACCGAGATAACTGTGAGGATTGTTTAACCAGTGACATGAGATGCCATTTTTCTTTGACCCATCAGAATAAATGTGGTCATTTATTTAACAGAATCAAAATTTAACATCAAGACATGTACACATTGATTTGCTGATCTGTTTCTGATTAATAAAAACTTGGCACGCTTTACTAACAAGACAACAGAACATTACTGATTGAGGCATCTAGATTACTGGCAAATAGAAAAGTTTCAAGGGAAGGAAGGAGAAGTTTAAAAGGAAGGTGGATGAAGGAAGATGTATGTTTTGTTGACCAGAATTAGCATGCTTCTTTCAACACCAGCTCAAACCCCCAATACACTTCAGGACATGCATAGACTTTGTTACCTTAGGCGGGGGCTACCTCCACTCCGGAACAGAAGTCCATTAGTACGATCCCTTTCCAGCGTCTCCGGTCAGGGTGGCTGGTCATCGTCAGAAGTCGTGTGGTTTACTCCGTTAAACAGAACAAGCTTCCTTCGAAGTTGTAGGGCGTTACGCCCGGGTGAGTTCACAGCGAGGCGCTGTGACTCCAGCTGGGATGGACGGACCGTCGTCTCACGGTCAAATCCATCAGCTATTGATTAAATCTGAAAGTTCCTTAGGAATTCTCAGGAAAACTTCAATCAGAGATTCCACTCAGAAGTGGAAGACTCCATAGAAGACTGAGTTAGACTCCAGGAAGACTGGAGAAGACTCCGGTCAAAGACTGAAGAAGACTGAAGACTCAATAGTTCTAGGAAGTGTTGACTTTTTAAAGAGTACTCACTTCTGGTCACTTGGTACTTCCTGATTGGTTGAAACAACCAGCAGGGGCAGTGTTTCAGTGATGT